GTCTTCCCCGAAACGTCGTCAAACAGTGGCAGCTCGCGTTCCAAGAATTCCGTGAGTCTCGTGTCTCCTTCGGAGGTCAAATTTTCGAGGGCGTTTACCGGATAGGACGGGGGAACGTCGTCGTTGCGGAGGTTCTGTACAGCGGTGTGTACACTGACAAGAGCGAGGTCAGTAATACACCGAATGCCGAGTACCACCTCCACACTCAGGTTCGGGACATACAGGGCATCCCACGAGTACGTCTGGCCCACGATTTCACCGTCCACTCTGTACCTATCCGAGACACGGCAATTCGCTCCGTTGGCCATACGTAGGTTGACGTCAGCCTGGTCGGGTACGCTGCCACACGTCCGAAGGTGACGTACGGCGCGATCTCCAATCAGACTGACCGACGAGCCGGTATCGACGAGGGCGCTGAACGTCTCACCTGAGATGACCACGTCGACGAAGGGTCGGTCATCTCTGGGGGCGCGTTCGCGGCTGACGGTTCCCGTGAATTCCGTTATGAAGCCGAGCCAGCGATTCCACTCCTCGGAGGTCGTGCGACGTTTCGTTCTACGGGGCTCAGGCGACCTCCCGCAGACTGAACCCGATGTCCGTTTCCCGAGCCGCAGTTGCAGCGACGCGTCGAGATGCCTACCCTCTTGCAGTGGTAGCAACGCAGGACCTTGGGCTTCGAACACTCGCGAAACAGATGTCCGGTTTCGTCGCAGTTCCAGCACACGAATTGCCGAGAGCCTGCCGCTCGTTCGTTCGTCGTACCGGGCGATCTGGTTCTCGTAGAGTCCGGCGTCCGCCTCCGCCTGTAGTCGTCTCGTGGCGAACAGTCGCGGGAGTTGGACCGAGCAAACGTTGTTGTCTTGCGACCGTCCTCCAAGGGTTTACCAGGTCGTGACCTGGCCGTCACCTCGGATTCCTCGGCATGGTCGTCCGACCAGCGATCAATCGCCGCGCTGTTGTAGACCCGGTCGACTTTCCGTTCTCGAACGTATGCGGTTTCCGGGATCAGCGACAGCGAAGGTGGTGGTGGCGGACGGAAGGTCTGTCGGCAACGTACATACGCCTCGTACCCCTCAGCTCTTTCCAACAACTCCTCCAGAGTACAAAAATCGGTACGACGTAAGACGAGTTTGTACTCCGGGCGCATGTTGCGGTATATGAGGTCGAGTTTACCCTGCTGCGAGAACGTACCGCTCCTCCGAATCAACGTTGAGAGCGCGACGACGTAGTCACGAATGGATTCGCGCTCGCCTTGTGTCCGTCGCCTTACCTCGTCGTCTAGATCTTGTCGATATAATGGAGGGAGGTATTGATCTTCGAACTGACGTTTGAAATCTTGATACGTCCGCCAGCTACCGCGACAGTTCCGATACCAAAGCAATGCCGGGCCGTGAAGGAGTTCCGGCAAAGCCTTCGTCAGCTCGTCGATATCGATTGAGTAGGCTTCCGCCAACTCCTCCAGACGTTCCAGAAACGAGACCGGGTCCTTCTTGCCGTCAAACCGCAGATTCCACTTGCGGACCCGATTGCACAACGACGGCGTGTCGTCTCCCACTCTCGTCCCACCCCACGGGTTGGGGTTGTCTGGACGTGAGGTTGAGAAGGCGGGTCGTGGTTGTGACGTCACCAGGCCCTGGTTGGATCGCGGCCATTCGTGGGTCCGGTCTTCGAACTCGTGACGCGGGATGTGGGTTCGTGGCTCGTAGGTCCGGTCTTCGTAATCGTGACGCATCGCCTGGGTTTGTGCCGGTATGATAGGCTGTCGAGGAAGTGTCAGGTCGTGCGACGTCAGGCAAGTCGTTGGCCGTTCTCCGCGACGCTCAAACATCGCGCGGGATTCGCGTTCCGTCGGTAGACCGAAGGGCACGGGGTACGATAGGATGTCTTCCCCGGTCGACGGGATGTAGGCCGGACGCCTCACCAACGCCGCGAGGGCTCGTCGAACGGATTCGGAATCAGCGTTTGGAGAGACTCCGAGCATTTCTCGCACGCTGGCCATCTCCTGGTACGCGGAAGGAGGTGCCAGCCACTGTCGGACTTGCGTATCGTAGGCTGTCGAGGCTGTTATCGCCGTCGGGTTCATCGGCTGACCGATGCTTCCCAACGGGTTCTTCCGATAATCGCAAAAACGTTTGCGGAGCTCGGCGACGCTACCCTCAGTTTCTAGATGATATTTACTCATCTCGGCTATCAGTTGCTGTTTGTTCAGCGTATGTATCCAACTGACGCGCGGGTCGTCCAACGGTGATTTCGGGATGTTCTCCATCGTCGAAGGTATTTGGGAGATCGTCGTCGTGGTCGTGGTCGTCGTTGACGTTTGAATTCCCACCGTGGATATCGTCACGTGGCCGATCGGTAGCGTATCGGGTCGGGCGATGGTCGTCGGGGTACTCGAAGTCGTTGATTTTGTTTCTCCAGTCATTTCGTCTAAATTTCGAAGTCAAAACCGTGTTTTCGAGTCCAAATGTTCGGGCGCCAGAGATGTGACGCAAAACTCTACAAAACGACAGTACAAGGACGTGAGACCGAGGAAGCTCAGTCCCTGTTCGGGCGCCAGAGATGTGACGCAAAATTCTAGGGGGGGAATAAACTAGTATTCACCAAAGTCAGGCTAGGCCTACCCTAGAACCGGCCACACTCAAATTTCTTCCCCGGAGTGCTCAGAAGGAGCCGTGAAAAATCCAGGGGTCGATACGAAGTTGTCACGGCTTTGACTGATCAATTTATTTAAAATTTAATCGAAGGCTCAGAGCTCTAGAAGCGCTCAGGAAATCCTGCAGACGCCCAGTTGGAGCAATATCATCCCAGCCTTCGCTAACATGTTGTGGAGAATTTTGCCTAACTTTTAGAATGACTGTAGGGCCGACGAGTATCTAATCTTATGCCAATGTGATATAAATACTCGTAATGAACTTTAAACTAATTAGTTGAAGACGTTGGTAATTGATCTAAAGGCCTAGGTAAATAATATAGAATGTAATATGACGTAAAACCCAATCCCTACAGAGTCGTCGAGGCCTAATTAATATAACTGTACGGAGAATTTATCGTGATGTTGTTTAAAATAGATTTAATATTAATTCACGTAACTGATTGTTCAAATCAGCCTGCTCCCAAGACTTGATTCTTTCACCCGCCAAAGATGGGGTTTAGAACTTAGACGACAAGTCTCGGGGTATTAAAACGGTGAAAACGAGATATAATTTGGACGTGATAATTATTTGTTAAGCGAACGGAGAAATCGTAATTTCGAAACTAATGAATTAAAATTAAATAAACTATAGCCACCGCTAGTCACTGGCAGGCAGGAACTGGCGGGTCAAGACTCAAGTTAAGATAATAGATTTAATAATTCGAAACGGAATATTAAGAAAACGAAAAGGTATAATAAGTTAAGTATGCGTAAGATAAAACAGAAAGAACGTAAAACGTAAAAATGGGCCTAACTAATATGGTAGCTAACCTTCGTAATAATATCGTAGTGTCGTTTCGTTGTATTCGTAACCCGTGCGAGCTAGTCGGTGGTCAAACAGCGAATAATCTTGTCCGGCTCAAATCCCGATTTCCTCGGCCGCGGCTCAAGCGCTGCGGTGGCGATTTCGGAAACTAGCCAACAGCTGATCGGGGATTCGCCTGTTGAGCCGGTCTAGTTGTCGTCTGTCGTTGGTCAACAAACACCATTTTGAGGTTAAGTGATGTTGTAATCGGCGTTAAATATTCGTAAAATCGGTCGTTTTAACTTTATTATGTGAAACGGAGTGCTATTATGAATAAATATATCGTTGTGGGTGTGTTTGTGTACTTCACTGTTATTAAAAGTAGGCCTACGTTCTTTGGCCCATAGCCTAAGCTATGGCCAACACATAGGCCTAGGAGTAGGATGTTGTGGATAAAAATCGGGTAAGTTATGGTGTTTGTTGACTATCAATACGTTTTTTTACCCCCCTTAAAATTTGGTACCTCACACGTGTAAACCTACATTTATTCAAACGAGTTCGCGAACCAGCATAATCGGACCATGGGATCAGGGGTTTATGGGGGGTTTTATGGGGTAAAAATGGGTTTTTCTCATTTTTGACCCTAAAAATTTCAAATTTCTAAATTTCTCTCTAGACCATTTTGAAGAGCTTAAAAAAACAAATAATTTAGTATATTGAAGTGTTTTTGAATGCTCATTGACTACGGAGAAAATTAAAAAAATTGTAAATTTAAAATTCCCATGTTATTCTTATGGAGAATAAATAAACTGTTGTAGTTTGCTTGTTCATGGATATATTTTAATCAAATTTGGCAATTTGGTTTATTTCATACTAAGCTATCAATATTTCAATTGAAAAAACACACCTCAACATCTTCCCCGTAGCAGCAAACCTAACTACTCACTAAAATTAATGTTATTTAAATAGGAAATAAATCTGAAAATTTATAGGGAATATTTTAAAAGAAATCAAGCCGGGTAAATGGAAATTCGCTTAGTATGCAGGTTTGCTGCGACGGGGGTAGTTGCTACTAAACAATAACTCTAGTTCAAAAAACAAAGCCTGCTAGTAAAAAGCTGCAGCAACATTTGTTTGGTGGTAACAAAGAGTGTTACTCATCAGCATATCAGTGTGATATTAAGCTAATTTTACAACTAAGGACTAATCAACATTAAGTTTACCCAAATAGTATCAAGAGTTTACAATTATAGGTGATTCATATAAGATTTAATATGTTTAGTTTCTTCAAATGAGTTTTATTTTGCAATTCCATCAATATTATGAACTGGATTTCTTAAAAAGGTCAAACAATCTTAGTTGGGTGGTTTTAAATGAATCGCAAGTAGCAGAATTAGCGATTGTAGCAAAGTGTTAGAGGCTAATTATTGTATCCATATTATAAGTATGCAAATTGTTGGATTAGTACTGTTTTATTAACCTGAGTGTACAAGATTCCGGAAAGTTAGCACTTTAATATAGTGAACACAAATGGTTTTACAAATCTTAAACTTTTCTTTACAGAAAACTCAGTGAGTATAAATGTAAATACCGAACGGCGCATCAACCGTAGCAGCTCTGAGAGGCCTGAAATGTTGACCAGGACATTGCCCTCGTCTCAGACACCACCTCGGACACAACGCTTTGCTCCTGGTAACAACTTGCTTCAATAAATTTTATCAATCACTTGTTGTTTATAAGCTGTCAATACTTGTAGTTTTTATTTGATACTGTACCAAAACCTATCAATATAATTGAAATCATGGACATAAAAAAATATTAAAATATTAAAAATATTGAATTTTATAATTGTTTGCCTCAAATTAGAAGCCTAATCCTGAGACAGAGTTACCCTTACAAAATACCTAATGGTTTTGGTGGTTGCTGAGGTTTACAGCAGGTACAGTAAAAAATTGTAATCATCTGAAACTTCAAGAAAATATGTGCTTTATCCTTCCACTTAAATAAAACTATAAAATAGTGTATGTATATGAAGTGCATTTTGACTATTCTGCCAATATAGGCTAGTTATCTTAGAGTGTGTTGGCTTTTTACAGGTAAATATGACGTCACAGAATTGCAAATCATCAAAGAACTTCTCTTCTGTTTTCAAGGAATTGAAGGAGACATACTGAGACTGGATAACGATAATGGATTTAAAATTGATCCTTTGGTAAGTTTAAGTGTTTTAAGTATTGAATCTTTATGATATCAAGAAATAATTGTGCTTGTTTGCACTAATTGATCTATTATTTACTAATACAGGTCTGCTGCAATCCTGCATACTTAGGATTAATGAGATAAAAACAACATTCAGATTGTTCATTTCAGTTTTGATTCCAACTTTTTTTGTTTTTATGAGGTTGGCAGCCTCATTTACCTTGCATTTGCCTGTCCACATGGACTACAGAGATCTGTGTGTGGAACGTATCCAGCAAAGTCAGGAGTGAGCTGGTACAGTACAAGGGTGAACTGCACTGATAAAAAATAGTAGCAGGAACCACGATCCAATCCCACGACATGGCAGCCGTGGGCCCGAAGTCCGTGGCACTACCAACTAAGCCACTGATTCACCATTTCATTCATCATTCTCTCCACTACGTGACTGTGTGTTGCAGGCTAAAGTAACTCAGCCCAACATGGTCAGATCACTGATGGAGATGGGTTACCTACACAACTGTGTGACCAGCAGTTGTCAACAGTTGGAGGAGAAGGGAGGTAACGTGGCCCGAGGACTGACTACAGCTATACGAGCTCAGCTCACTGAGTACTACAGCACAGTTGCGGAGCTCCACTCCAAGGTGAGGCATAGCAGTTTAGGCTCTACTGTTTGTTATTTGTAATTTAATGGGTATAAAAGGTTAAGTTTTTAATAATATTATTAACGTGGTTTATGACGTTTTGAGATTTTAAACTTTGTCCCGAGGTTGCTGGTTTCATTCTGTGTTTTTAAGGCTCTTAGAGCTTTTAAAATATTGGTTCCTAGAATCTATGTCCAGAATGTTCTCAAAGTTTTGATCCTTTTTAAGGTATACACAATATATCAGGTGGAGGAAAGCAACCTATTGGACCTCACTTGCCGCCATTCCAGCTATACTTAAAATACAGTAGACTCTTGCTCATCCGGACTAATGTGGCGGATGTCTGGTCCGGATTACAAAAAATCCGGACTATCGAGTCGAGAGTCGATCAATTATAGTCTTTATGGTGTTTTTTTTCAATTTTGTTCCAGGTCCACAGTATTGATAGCCTGGCAAATGCAGTTCCACCGGTAATAATTTTTACTGCCGTGTTATCACTGTTATCAGGTAGTCTCGGTCCCCTTTAGCTTAGATAGTCGGACTTCTACTGTACTGTGCCGCTAAAAAAATGATGAAAAACATGAAACTCCACTACATGGTTTGGAGTAACTGAACACTATTTTCCACTATTTTAACCTCAATGTCACATTCACCAAACTTAGTAGGTTGTTTCTCTAAAAATCTGTCTTCACCCTATTGTGTTTTCAGCTGAAGCAGACTCAGTCGATGTCACAAATAGATGACTCGCCTCTAAGTGAGGAAACGTCCAGTCATTTTGTCCAGACAGGGCTGACACTACGACGGCTGCTGGTGTGGATGCGAGAGCCGCGAAGGAGGTTTCAAGTGTTGGTAGACCTGTGTCAGGTGTGCATGGATCTGCGCGGCGGAGCTATCATCAGTGCAGCCTACCCCTACAGCTATCACGGCTCTCTGGAAGTACAGAAGACTGCCACTAAACTCCTGGCTGCGGTGAGCAGTAGTCAGTAAATCCTGTTCCTTTAGTAAAATGAATATTATTTGTTCATGACAGCAGACTCCTTCCCTTTTAGTGGAATTGGGACCAGATCGTTATCTGAACTTAAAACAACTGTATGTAAGCAGAAGTCTAACATAAAAAAATCAAATGTTTACATGCTAAGTTAGTAAATAGCTTTTCAGGCGCTACTAGGCTACTAAGTACTAACACTCATCCAGTGTCTAAAACATATAATTCTTTATCTATAATCCATCTCTGGCATACCTATGTAAGTAGATGTTAATCTATATCCGATTCCATCTCTGTCATTGCCATATTTTAACAACTGGTTAGGATGAATCCACTTGTTGTTATACACTAACATTTTTGTTTGTTTCATGTATGTTAAACCTTGTTAAACTTAATTGTAACTATTCAATCTCTGATTGTTTTAAATATGGTTTATGGCTTTTCAGGCCGCTAGACCGTTGTTTACACTGATGTGCCATTGGATAGTTCAAGGCGAACTCTATGACCCTTACGATGAGTTCTTCGTCGGAGTCAACAAAATGTGTCTACCTCACAATCAATGGAAAGATAAATATTTTTTAAGGTATGGCAGTTCAAACTCTTGGTTAAATGTTTGATTAAGATTATTTTTGTTGGTTATTTGTTTTATTTATTGGCAGGCTAACGGGCACTTAAGTTTTTTTAAAGGATTTTTTGGTGGATTTGTTTGATAGCCTCACTGTCAAAAATAGTTGAAAATACACAAATAAACACAAACAGCTGGTTTAAAGCCCTTACTCAAACCTGCAACTCCTCAGAATTGAGAATATGGTAACTTTCCCACGAGTGGAAAACAAAAATCCAGCAAACCTCCCAACCTAAACCTGAAATAATAATCTTACCCCAACACAGCAGGCTTTTGTAAATATAGAATAATTTTCACAGTATAATGTGTTCAGTTGTGACTTAGTGATAGTGACGATAAACCATTTGACAGCATATTCTTCTTCTCCCTCCACAACCAGAACAAAGGCTCTACTACTGAAAGACAAGTAGCTTCAAAAATGCACGTTCATGTGTTTATTTGTGTATTTTCATAAATTTTTGTCAGCGAAGTAAGCCAGGCTTACAGCCATCTTTACAAACCATGTTATAGCGATGCTGGGCTCATATAGACCACAGTACGGCTCAACCAACACCTAAAGTGAAGTTGCACAATATCCCCAAGATTGAATTGAATTCATATTATTTTAGTGCATTGAAACACTGAGCTAAGCCACATCTATATCACAGCCATTTTGATGAAAGCTAAATAATAATATGAATTTAAATAGAAACGTGAGACAGCTTGCCGCTTACACCTGATGGGCGGAAGGTAGGTAATCAATTACAAACTACTTTTATTTTGTTGAAGTAGATAGTACTATCTACTTCAACAAAATAAAAGGTTAGATAGGTCCCTAACCCCTTAGTCCCCCTTAGTCTCCCCTCTTAAGAAAAATTAATGCATACTTAAATTAGTAATTTTAGGATTGACCTATACATTCCTAGCGGTGACGGCAGCTCTCCCTCGATGGATTCCTTGCTGCCACTGACCAAGAGTTCTCGTCATACCACTCCTACTCATTAGACATGAGATAATAACGCCTTCCTTCCCGTATATTTTATGGTTTTCTACATCGCTGCTGTGACACAAGCGTCATAGTTAATTTCAAGACCATTAAAGTTGTTTTTTTTTTCAACCTTGGTGGCACCGTGATCGTCTCCCACAGTTACGGCAATATTTTGACCATTTACCATGAAGACATTGAGAATGTTAGATCGCACAATTTACACAGACACTCTTGTCATAATATCTGAGCTTGATTTTCTGGTTTTTAACTTAGATCACTTGAGCTTTTAAATTATGCTAAACTCACCTGAAAAATTAACCCTCTGGCATACCTATTGATTTACAGTAATAAATTGATACACTTCAACTACTAAAGTGGTTTAGAATTGTTCATCAGACCTGGTGAAATTGGCTTTATGCAAACTTTGTCCGTATCGTAATGTTATAGACTGATTATGTCTACAGGAACAGTCTAGTACCAGCTGTGATGACAGAGCAGCAGGCCATGATGGTGCTCAGTGCTGGTCGATGTATCAACTTCCTCAACGAGATCTGCAGCCACAAGATGGAAGTGACCGGTGCCCGAGCGAAGCTGCGCAAACTCCACACGGCTAAAGGTGGGCAGTGAGTGGGTTATATATTAGTAATTTGGTCTTATACCGTTATAAATACTAGGTGTTAGTCTGATTCCCCCGAAGATCTCTAAAAAGTAGGCGATGTGAGAGTGTCAAAAGTAATATTAATTTTGGTGAAAAACAGTAACTTTCAAAATAGGTTATTTGTTTATAAGTTTTTAATATTATACCAATTTGATTACTAGGTCTTCTTGAGGGTTGGAGTTCATAGAATTTTGTTTCTTTATATAATTGAGGTATAGAATATTATAACATAGAGCCAAAATGTTACCTATCCTGAACCTATCGTACAATCTCGCTCATCCCTAATAACTACACTCTTCTTTAGTCCATTGTAAAGTTGTGTGTTTCTTGTGCCAGAATGGAAATTTTTCCACTCAAGTAGGTCTATTGCAGGAGATGATAATAGGCCGCCTCAAAAGAATTTCACAAACATAGCCCCACAACAATCCTTATAACAGTTTAGTTTGTTACAGTTAATATATTGTATTGTTTCATTGTTATATGACAGAAGGGTAGTTTCTGCAGCTGGCAGAGCCGGCCAGTCCGTTGGCCATCATCATAGAAGCTGCCTGTAGGGAGGCCTCTCAGCTAGTGCTAGAGACTCTCAAGTCACAGTTCTATGTGTTACTCTCTATGTTTGTTCTACAGAGGGGGAGTTTCTGCAGCTGGCAGAGCCGGCCAGTCCGTTGGCCATCATCATAGAAGCTGCCTGTAGGGAGGCCTCTCAGCTAGTGCTAGAGACTCTCAAGTCACAGTTCTATGTGTTACTCTCTATGTTTGTTCTACAGAGGGGGAGTTTCTGCAGCTGGCAGAGCCGGCCAGTCCGTTGGCCATCATCATAGAAGCTGCCTGTAGGGAGGCCTCTCAGCTAGTGTTAGAGACTCTCAAGTCACAGTTCAAGCTGTTTGTCAACTTCCATGGTCTGAGGAGGTACATGCTGATGGGACAGGGTGACTTCTACCGCTACCTCATACAGCTGCTTGAGTAAGTGTAGAAATTTGGACTGTGTTTTTGGGTAACAATGTTCATATGTGTAGCGTTAAGTCCCTTGGTTGGTGTATCATTGGCTCAGTTGGTAGTGTAATAAGAATACTATACAGCATTGTAGGGTTGCACCTGCATGCCTTCACTAATATATTTCAGTACTATTCATTCAGTACTGTTGACTCGCCTTTTGCTCTGTTTGAGGCCACACACAGGGTAGAGGCTTATGTCAATGGGAATTTGCAGGATTAAAAGAGAATGATTTCTTAATAAAGAAATCAATAAACTATAAGTTTGGGTGGCTTGGCTATCACACTAGAGAACACAAAATGCATGATGTCCCATCGTCGTTTGTTGGCAGCCATAGATAAAACATTTACTCAATTGAAAACACTTTCAAATTTATCAAAAATTAAGTAACAAAATTTTGGTTCAGTCTAAAATATTTATCACTTAAATGTCAGTTCAAGTGTTAAGCGTTACTACACATGTCCAATTTAAAGTTTTTAAGTAAAATAAATTTGATCTTACTTGTAAAAGAGTTATTTACATCATAAATTAATCAACACCATATAATTAGAAATAAAATAAGAAATCCATAGCATTAAAAAAAATTAACTTTGAAACAAATCAAACTATTTTTATGAATATGAGAAACAAAAAAAATCTTCATGGACCTACAGTGGTCTGATATTTTCATATTGTAATTCAGATGAAAATGTTGTTTCAGACCCGAGTTGAACAAGAATGTGGATCAGGTGTACCAACACACACTGGTGAGCATCTTAGACACAGCTATCAGGTCTACCAACTGTCAGTACGAGGACAAGGAGGTGTTGTCTCGTCTATGTGTCAAGACGTTTGACGCTAGTCTGGGCGAGACAGGCTGGGACACGTTCACCATGGCATACAACACTTATGGACCTCTGGATACGGTCAGTGTAGTCTGTATTAGGATGTTTCATGTTTCAGTCAAATGCTATTCTTTTGTTCGTGTCTTCTGTGTAGTAGCATTTAAATGAAAAAAATTTTAACCTTTTTTTAGGGGAAGCTGTGCAAATCTCTCACATATTTGTGGATATACCTTAACAATAATTAAAAAAATGTCAAAGGCGTGGATATAACCAAAAATAACAAATAACAGAAGTAGATAACAATGTGATCATGGGAAACACGATTCAATTATAGTGCTAAGTACTGTAATCACAGTAAACTACTGTGAACGATATTACTAAAATCGCTGGAGTATTTAATGTCTATGATCAATAATTCTTAACAAAATGCTGCATTTCTTCATAAACATTCTTGATTGGTAGTTTTGTTTGTAAAAGTTGTGTTAATTTATCACTCGATTATAAAACTAACCTCGGATGTCATTACTAGGTGTTTTACTGATTTTTGTGTCTACCCAGTGATTACAACATCCCCAGATCATACCGAGACAAATTACTGTGAGATTTGATTCTGGACCCTGCCTCATTCGTTCATTGGACGGTAAATTAGTGTTCCTGACAAATCAAACACAAGATTTTTATTATTTTAGCAGTAAAAGTTTAAAAGAAATTTTATATTTATTCCTAATTGACTTCAAATAGTCTGATTCGTCTCACCCATTCAAAACCAACTGAATAATTCTACAAAGTTTCAGCCAATATTTGAGATGAAATGACATTGATGTCTGCAGGTGTTCCAGCTGGGAGATGGTACATACCAGGCGATGTTCTTGTTTCTGTGGCAGCTCAAGAGGGTGGAATACTCTCTGTCTAACTTCCGCAAGGAGCAAACATGTGTTTTGAAGAAGCTGCAAATACGTCAGGACTTCCGAGGTAATTGGTTGCTCTCATGTTTAACGTACAAGCTATGCTTTGTTCTGGTGACTAAATAATTATAATAATAAACAAGCTGTTGACCCGTCCTACGTACGGGAATCGAGTAGTCAGTTAAAACTGTGTATAATTTGAAACAGTTGTTTAGTTAAAATAACTCATTTGAAAAAGAACTTATCACCTGTAGAAGGAATTTAAAAAAGTAAACACGCTAGTAAGCTAATGACGTAATTTGTCTATGTTTATTATCTATACCGTTATCCGTTCTAATATCCGTGATAATTAACCACCCTCACTGAATCAATGTACATCATTAGTTCCCATATTCATTTATTAAAACTATAAGATATTTACTTAAAATAAAAGTTTTATTTTATCAGCGCGCCCAAACCAAACGTAACCACACATGAACACACAAAGTTTTAGATTTTACAAAGGGATGGCAAGTCTACTTGCAGTATCCTAGGTCAATGATAAAATCGTGTTTAATCTATGTCATCCATCTGTTTATCTCTGAATAAAACCCGTAAAATAATTTGCATAGGCAATTTTTGTTTGAAGACACGCGGGCAGAGCCTCGATTTGTATACGGCATGGCCTTACTTGTCTCTATTGTCTACTTATCTCTACTAATCTTACTTATTTCCTATAATCAATGACTAAATAAAATAACCTCGTAGTTCTATAGAATATTTTTATAACCATCCAGCTGTTAGTTCAATCAAATTATATTGCATTAAAACCCAAGATTTTAAATATTGCTCTAAAAAATTTGTTAGATTATCAAGTGTTTTACAATGTATATTTAAATAATCTGTCATTCCCTTACAAAATAAATTAATGTATCAATTATTATAAAATTACACATAGTATAAATAAGTCAACCCTACATATGTCATTTCATTTCTATCCAAAAGCTGAATTTGTGTCACAAACGCTGAATGTTTACAGCTGTTACGTTAAGCAAATGGTTTTATACCAAAAGCTTGTCTAGAATGTTAGCGTCGGCTGCTAGACTTTTTGAAAATTAAGACTTATTTTCTAAAAAACTGAAACCCTCTTCGACATTCCCTAGTTCTCAAAATGATCTTTCTTTCAACATAAAAATCACGAAAATCCGTCAAGTGGTTGATTCAGAATCGTGAAATAAAAAAACCCTGTCACGTTTTAATATATATGATGGTGTGACACATTGCTAGAAAAGGACAGGCTTCCTTCAAGAGTTTATACTATCGTAAGGCCTATATTATTTGTTGTAACTTTGCAAGGAATAGGAATGTAGTTGAAATTTAAGTTCATACAAATATTTTTGTGGAAGCAGACATGTATTATTGAGAGTTGAGACTGTTCTTACCTACACTAACTGGAGTGGTCACAGGTAGCCAAGTTGGTACATCAAAATAGCCTCTCCAGAAGGATTGGTTCGCAGCAGCCTCCTCATTGAATTAGTTCCTTGATAACTTTATAAGTCACTCTTGGGGATGATCAAATATGACTTGTTGTCAAGGTAAACTCCTTATAGAGGCTTGGAATAACATGCAATTAAGGGTAATATAAAGTCAATGGTTTTTGAAAATGACACTTGTTATCAAGGGCCACTTGTTATTGAGCGTCCTCTTATCGAGGTTCCACTGTATCCCTCCGAACTTAGCCCCACTACCTTTCTTTGGGCCTTCCAGCTGGTCTTCTGCCTTTAGAATAACTTTTCATTTTGCTTCATTGAAATATTGTAAAATTGTGTTTCCTCCCTTAGCTTTTGTTACCGTGATAGCTATTGAGATATATGAGACACTAGAGATAATTTGTTTTTTTCAACTTGACTTGGTCATAAGCACATTCTGCTGGTGGCTCATTTAAACTAGTTTCATTTTTATTCCATGATTTCAACATGGGAATGCAATGTCTAGCTCCATCAGTCAAAGGTAAAAATTCTAGAGCTAAATTTTCACTGTGTTAAATGCTTCTATTGCAGAATTACAAACGATGTTAAACACATGCAGTCTCATGACAGCAGAGATGGTTCACTACATCAACCAAGTGCTGTACTACATCATGTTCGAGGTGATTGAATGTGCGTTTGAAAGCTTCGCAGCCAAGTTTAATTCGGCTACGACCATCGAGGAAGTGATCCACGACCATGAAATCTTCCTTCAGGAGATCAAGACAAAGACATTGAAAGACGACAGTGAAACGTCCAGGGTAAGTTTTCTGACTTATAAATGCACGTTATTGATTCTGTGATGATTAAAACTCGGGTTGAATATGATTTGACTGGTTTAGAAATAAATTACCGTACTATATTTTAAAATTGCTACAGACATAAATTTGAGGGATTGCTTTTGGGGATGGCAATAACACCCGAGTATGTTGAAAAATCTAACTATGGTTTCCAATGTAGGGCTACCAATGTCGCCACAGACATTAACGATGTTGCCTACTGTAATGGGAAGTCATACAAATTGCTAATTATAAATTTCTACTAAACTTATTACTTGTATTTCAGGAGCTCTTCAAGGTTATGACATCATTGAACCTGGCTATCCTGAACCTGGTGAGTTACGGAGGTCAGTTCCTGGAGCGGGCCGAGGCTGAACTAGAGAGGAGGGTAGCTCGTGATCGGAGGGTGGAGGCCGAGGGAACAAACTATGAGGAAGAGGCGCAAAATCAGAAGGCAGTGAGCTCTTTCAACATCAAGATTCACTACGCTACTAAGGAGATTAATAATATCTGCCACACATATAAGGTATGGTTTGTCTGTATGTTCTCCACCAACCTTTGTGGATATCTTTGTTGGCAAAATATGACTCAAAAAAGGTATTAAAATCACTAGTAAAATTGTGTGACAGGTTGGCCACAGATGGGGAATTCTGGGAAAAATTTAGAACTATGCGGGAATTTGAATTTATGACAATGGATTGAAAATATGTAGTATGGATCTAAGACGAATTTAGAGCACTCACGCATCTCTGTCAGCACATTAAAAACCTGATTGCTAAAACATTGTAAACATTATCTACGGTCACAGCGAAATTGTGAACGTCTTCTGTGCTCAAGATAAAATCGAGATTGTCTTCCACAGTCACAATGAAATCTTATTTGCGGTTAGGACCAAATCGTGAACGTGTTACGCTCTTTATAGTAAAATAGTAAACATCTTCCAAAATTTAAAAAAAAGTACGAATATCTTCAGCCTGAAGGCGACTCATCGTCTCCCATAATCGCGATAATCAAATCAAATGAAATCAAAATGCCTTTATTCTTGAGTGCTTCTCAATACAATATGGTTTACAGAATAACTCACGTCAGGTCACTAAAACTAAATATTTACAAGTCATAATTAAACCGTAAACATCACCCGCTTGCAACAAAATTGTTAATTTCCAATCGTACATATTTGCAAACGATATCTGCAATTCCATGGTTTGAGTTTTTGACACTCTCAACTCGAGCAATACAACTGACAATTTTGTCGTTTGAAATCAGGTAGAAATTTGTTTTTGTATATTTATTTGATTAATTTCCTTCATTACCTTTCTGATTTAATACTAGTCTATTAAAAAAGGTTCAAATACCTGCTATTAAGCAATCCAAATTTGTTGTTAGAACAACTAGTTTCGGTGTCTGTGTGACACCATCATCAGGCTGCACAAGGACAGTTTTCTTTCTTCATACGAAGAGCGTCATGTTTACACGAAAATAAATAAATATTTACAAACGACACAAACACGAACACGAGACATTTATGGTAACTGATCAGTTGAGAAAACAGACGACGCTAACCCGGCGGAGTTTGAGTCCAGACTCCAATCCATACTAGTCTATTGCTTATGTATTTTTAAACTCCAATGTTTTATAACCGTAGGAAAGGATTATGACAACTTACACGTTAAGTTTTTTCTCTGCAAGACTTAATTAAATAAATAATTTTGAAAACGTAATTAGTGTAAATGAAACAAAACTAGATTTTTTGTAAGTGATTATCAATGCTGAGTGCAATTAATGTGTACAACATCCAAAAGCGCCCATATATTTAATTGTTTAAGGTTCATTTAAATTTTATTTGTATTTCAAGTTAGTAATATTGCTCATTATAGGCCTAGTACTTTTAATTTTTAAATTAAGGGGAGCGAGCTGGCATAGTGGTTAGAGCGCGGGACTTCAGTCCCTGAGGTCCCGGGTTCGATCCCCGCCAAGTCACCAATGGATTTTATCCAAGTGATAATGCCGCAAACCCTAGTTCTAGCCTGAAGTAATGTGAAAAACAATCCCAGGCTCGTGCCTAGCGTCCTTAGGACAAAAAAGAAAAAAAAAGTACTTTTAATTGCTTCCTAGTATTTATAATCATTATTGGTTGTGCCTCGGAAACGGGATTTAAGATTTAACCTTTTATTGAAACGTGCCTGGGTCTTCTTGTAGCTTCTTATTTTCTACAAGTTAATTTATAGTCACTAAGCAATAATATTCACATAGTTTGATTGCTATCTTTCAAACATAATTTTTTCAGGAGAGTTTGAAAAAAGCGAGGACATGTATTGGAATCCCAGAAATATAGATCTTTCAATGACCGCTTTAAAAAAAGAATTTTAAAATAAACACTTTTAATAATGCTTGTCTTTTTTCTTACTGAGACTATAATAATGAGTATGATGAGTATTTTTGTTTCATTTATGTTGGTAGAATAAATTATTAAATTAGTAAATTATTAAATCAAGAGCAATTTGAGACTGGTCAGTTGATCCACCATTATAATACAAGAAACAATAAAAAAATGAGGTTGCAAAGTCACCGATTAAAAATGTTTGAGAAAAAGCCAAATTCAAAATCAAAATCTTTTAAACAAAATTTCTCCCATAATAGACACAAATCAAGAGTTTTCAAAATGTAAGAGACAATTAAAAGAACACCTAGTTGAGAGAACATTATACTCACTAGATGAGTTTTAAAATAACTAACGGCCTTAAATTGAATATTTGCCAACAGAAATTAAAGTGTTTTTAACATCATTGTACTTATTGACAGAAATTGTATGAGGTAATTATAAGGATTAGTTTTAAGAAATGACGCATGTTCAATGTACTAATGCTACAAAACAACGAATAAAGAATGCTTTGACTTAGATTTCACATTATCTTATCATAACTAACTAAGAGTAAACTTGTACATTAAGATATTTAATTCAGTATAACACCATGATGTTGAAAAGGTTTAAATGGTAATTTTTAATTGAAAACTAAATGCATATGAATGTACACTGAGTTTGACTTAGTTGTTTAATCAACCCTCTGTTATACAAGTATAACTTTTTGGCTTAATTTTCTGAAAGTTTAAAGCTAATATGTCACACTTGATTTATGGAGGATTGCACCTAAGGGAATTTCAATTTATGTTGTGTCCAGGAAAACGTCCGTAAGCTGCTTGTACAACTGTCTACTCAGCAGACAGATTTGCAGCTGCTTTGCATGCGGTTGGACTTCAACGAGTTTTATAAGAGATCAGAGCCGGAACTTTCAGAGAATTTAAAGCTTGGTCGTGTCACAAATTTCAATTCTGCAATGAGGAGCTCGATGCAAGGCTCGCTGCAAGGTTCGATGCACGAATGACCTGAGTCCCCCACTCCACCGGCATCACCACCTTTGCCAAGAGAAGAGAGACAAGTCAATGAAGATTCACCGAAAGAAATGGCTCCCCCGGAACTATACCCCCACCTAGATAATGCTTGTAATAATGTCCATCCAGCAGACGAATATGTCAACGAGGGATTGTATGATAACAGCGATACAGAGAGCTCCATAGATCAGATGGTCGATGAAAATATTTCCTTAAGAGAAGCGGACCTGGACCGAGATCTTCTACTTGGCGAAGACATTTACGAAACAATCGATTACTACAGCAGGAACGTAAACCGAGAGTTTGACAATATAAGCCCAGTTGTGTTTGAGTCTTACTCAGCGTCCAGTGGTAGTGAAGAAAGCATAAACCATTCTGCAGATTGTGAGGTTAAGTTTGTCGATCATTCTGACAGTTCGCATTCAGATGTAGGTTACTCTTCTAATTTGAACACTACCAACAACGATGAAAGTCTGATAGAATTTGATGTGAAGAAAAAGGAAAGCTTTTGCTCTTACCAACCGAGGAAGATCTCTAAAGAGGATCCGATGGGGAGAAGTGTCAGTGATTCTTTCCTGGATAGAGTAAAGGGTTTTAGATTTTTGAAGGGGAAGAAGTCCAAAAACAAGACTAAAAGCCTGTCGAAGACAAATGACTACGAGGTATCAGCAAGCAGTCATAAAGAGTTAGGTGATTCTGGTGTGATGAACTATGGTAGTACCGAGGGCGTTCACACAGTAGACTTTGATGATAGTCTCAGGGAAGATCAGTTTGAATCTCTCAATAGAAAATTTGGTAAGAACAAAAAACATGATGGGTTCAACCCCTGCTGCGTTGGCTGACTATTAGACGAGTCGTAGGACAAGTAATTTTTGCATCCGTCATCTTGCCTATGAATATCTTTACGATAGATTAATTTATTGTTCTTAATGTTTTATCTCAATTTTATTCCTAATCCATAAAATCTTTTGTCAACATTTTTCAACTAAAAATAACTGCCAGTCTTATGTGTTTCAGTATACAATGTTGAAAGCATACATATCATTTAAATTGTTTAAGAACTTGGAATATCTTTTGCTGTTAAACTCTGCCTGGCAGTTTTTCAACATTTGGGTTAAAGAAGTTAGAACATTACAATCAATTTTTTAGTAATATTAAGTTTTAATGGCAAATTTTAGAATGATTGCATTTTAATGTCAAAGTCACTGTAACCCTCTATTGAGCCAAATGAACAATTAATTGTTATCATACATGTTCTCTGTACAAAATAGTTGGTAAGAAACTAGGTTTAAGACCCAGAATAGGTCAATAAATCTCCGACATGTTAGTGAGGAAGTCCCCTATAAGTATTAGCTTGAATTTTTGCCATCACTAGTTTTTAGCTATCACATCACCTTTTACATTCATGTGCCACTCTTGTTAGTTTCTTAACTAGTTAATTGGTTTAAGATTGGCCAAACAGAAACATTGTTAACAAAATTTGTGCCATAGTTTTAGTATTTGAAAATGATGGCTCGTTACTTTTAGTTAGTTCAGCTATAAGAAAATTCTAGTACCGATTGGAAACGTCCTCCTTTCAAACTTAAATTAGGCTATCATAGTTCTATGTAATAGGACTATACATTCGTTTATATTCAAACTCCAATGTAAACGTTGATTAAGAAGTGCTGTATTCATTTACATGATTAACACTTCTCGTGAAAAACAGAATTTCCCTTGTAAACACTGAACAACTTAAAAAAACCATGTAGCCTAAACAAAACTAGTGTTGTTTTGCTTTATGTAAAATCCCGTGTTAACTTTGCTTTACTTCTGCAATGCCTTGCTTGATTGATAACGAAAACTGTTTTAACTATTTAATTTTTATAAGTTTGTATTCACTTCACTTTCGGATATCAACAACTTTGCTGCTGATACTTTTTAAGGTTCACTGTAGCTTCTCAGAATCCCTTTTTTATTCTGATATTACAAAAGTCAAAATACTAAAATAGCTTTCAATAATTTTAGTTATTGCAAACGCAAACAGTGAAGGACAATTTTTTAATCTTTTATATTTGGTAAATCATGCTAGAGTATTTTTATAATGGATCGATTACATAGAACTACGATAAAGAAATAACATGTTTAGCACACTTCCCAATCTCTGATATATCTTTGTAAATATTAACCACAGCGGTTGCTGTTTCATAGTGAGATAAGTGTTATTTATTACTCAATTGTGCTCTCTTAAAATAGTGTTAATTATTCTATTTATTTGTGTGTTTTATGTAAGATGGTTTGTTACAATGAAAGAAATGTGTCGTATGTTCAAATTTGATATTTTAATCTAATGTTAGTCAACTAGATGATCTTGTATCTGTTTTGTTGTTTCACATAAACATTTTTTTGAAACACTTTTGATGTACAATACCTATTATAGCCTAGTTATTGTAGTTCATAAACTTAAGATGATTTTTTTGTTACTGCTTTGATGTACATATTTTCCTTTAGATTTTATTTGTAATTTTAAAAATCCATAGGTGTAATTTTGGTCTTTCTCGAGCTTAGTTAAAGTACATTAAGTAAATAAAATATTTTTGTATTTTTAAGTAGACTGCTTAGTTAAAACTGATCTTAAAATCATAAGAATTAGTTGCGTTAACGCTTATTTTTTTGTGGCATATATTTTTCTTTGATGATACATTTGTATACTCAAGGCTGTTTAAAATCAATATACATGAAGAATCGAGAATTTATGTCTGAAAACAGGTGTAACAAGTAATTTACAATATAAGTGTTTAGTTTCTTTAAGATGACGTGCTGACACTCCGACTAGTTAACTTGGCTGTGTCAGTGATTCAATGAGAAAGGGAAGGATTAAATCAAACTTGGCTATTTCGTAGCTTTGATCTTCAATGAAAAATCCTAGGTAAACATAATATGCTACAATATTAGGCCTATATGCTGCTGACGTTTGGCATTTAATATTCATTTAGTAGGGAAATAAAAAAAAAAATTAAATTAGTACAATAACTTAGTGAAATATGTATTGGCCTCAGTAGTCATTGTTTTAATGTTTAAGATTTTCTTGGGATGTACACAGCAGACATATCCAAAGTTCTAAGATTACTGTTTACAACATAACTCATTTTCCCTTAATTCTTGGTAACTAAGTTTTTAACTTGTAAATAACAAAAATGAGGTCTTCACTTCAATAATGGCAATTTAGTCTTACGAAGCTTAGTTCATCCCAGTACATACTAATTGTTAAACTTGTGTTATATGTTACTCATTATTGTGATAATACTATCCACCATATCAAAATTAAGTACAGTATGGTATTTGTATGTACATAGAATTTCCAGTGTTAGGTGCGTTTTATAAGCTTCTCTGATTTAGCTTTGTATAATGTTACCATTTTTAGTATTGTTAATTTTGTGTCATAATTTGATTTGAAAATAACTGTGCAAAGTTTAATTGTGGTGCCTTTATGCTTGATCAAACTATTGAGTGCTTTGAACGATTTAAGTTAAGCTGTTAGTTTGAGTTTGTGAAACATTTTTATAGTTGCTTCAAATAAGTTTCCCTCTCAAAGCTGTTTGTGTCATATTTGTTTAGCTTATGGCTTTTATACTCTGTTACATTGTTATAAACTATTGCTATGTTAGGTTTTTTTTAAGTCAAACAGTTTAAAATCTTTATTATAGTGTCTTCCAATCCATCCTGAATCCCAAACATTCTTTTTTAGCAACTGTAGTAAAAAAAGACTCAGCTAAATTCTTAAATAACTATAAAAAACGAATGGATAAAGAAAGTAACCAAAAAGCCTGCTTGAGATGCAACTAAAAAATTCAATCATCATATCAACTTCCATCCGAGCTGTCCACCATTTTTTAAAGTAGATCTCTGCTACAAACAGATGACCCCTCAGGAGCTGCAGAATAGACCTGACCGAGACGGAATCCAATCGTTTAATCTGTGTAAATAGACAACGCCTCAGATTGATTGGTCATTGATTAACTAATTATTGAACCCAATGTCCTACCGTGGATTTTCCTACATTGGTCCAGTAGTTGAAGTTCAAATCCTGTTAATCGCCAATGGTTTCATTTGTATTAAATTGTCACCCGTTAGTTCAACGCCAACCTCAAGCCTTAGGTCAATGTTACTATATTGTTATAGTTTTAATACTAAACTTTCAGTACCACCTAATTTAAATTTAAAATAGTTAGTTTTATAGTTGCATTAAAATATATTTAGTTTAATTGAATTGGCAAGTATTTTTACTCTAGAAGCGTTGATGACATAATCTTTTCCATTTGTAAATGGTAGTTTATTGCGTAAACTTGTAAAAAATAACAAATTTTATGTTTATTTTAAACTCAAATTGTATTGTTGTACAATTACCTCAAATCAGCTCCAACAACAAAACATTCAAAAACTAAAGTTTGTTCAGAAAATTTAGGCTGTTTAAGGGGTAGGTTTCCCGGGTTCCCCAACCATTTTTTTAGCTTAATGTATAACAACTGATCAGCTGTTGGGTGTTGTTTCAATGATATTGTGAGGTGGAGGGGATAGATTCGCTCCCCCTAATATCGCCTAATCTTTGTGAACTGTGTGATCTTTGTAATAGCTGTAATATATTAGATTATAATTTATAATGTATTGGTCTTTATTAGCCCTAAGTTTCATGAAATATAGTTCTATATACACTCTTTCAAAACAATATTGTTGAAATAACCCCTATTACTTATTTGTGTTTAAAATACTGTAGAACCACCTTAAAAATGTTATGTTAGCGTTCTTGATGCTGAGAATTCGGTTATAATACATTGTTGTATTTGTTGTTTGTTAAACCTACATGATGCTAATAAACTAATATTTGGTTACTAGCACTTTGGCATATTTAACATACTAACTGAAACCTCTTTATATTTAGAGCTACAAGAAAAAATCTGTTGGTTCTAAAATTGATCAGGTTTAACATTCTTGATTAAATATTACAAGAGTGTTATAATTAATTGTTCTGCTTAGCTTTGTTTTAGTTGCTGTGTTTTGATCTCAATTACTGTTAGATCTCTAAAACTGAATCGTTTGAAGTTAAAGTAGTTATATTTTCTTTGAAAAAAACTAAAGTAGTTAGGAAAGTTACTTATATAATGATGTAATCTCATCAAAATTTAGCTAAAGCACTCATTTACTTAAATCTTACAGATATTGCTTTTGGATCAATACTATAATGAAACAACTAGCATTTATTTATATTGAATAAGAAAAGTTTCCCTTACAACATTAGCCTAGTTAAACAATGTTTCGTTTAAGCATAAACATATTACTTATTAACAGTAGAAACACTGCAGTAAACGTTTTCGACTGAAGAGTTAAATTTAGTAGTTAATGTATATTTTGAATTTATTTTTCCATGTATATATTTGTACCATCTGAAACATTTTAGTGTGTTCTCTGCCGCACAATTAATTGTTAATATGTGTATAGTTTCCTTTTCTTGTTAATTCTTAGTTTGTAAATAAATAATACTTTGCCTAACCTAACTACAACATTGTCGTCTATTGTTTTTTACACCTCTTAAGTCTAAATCTAAAAAATTGAACTCACTAAAAAAATACATTTATCAGTAAAAGTTTGTTTAACTTATAATGGTAAAACTCAATCCTTGAAGGGTTTGCCTATTTGGTTTTTAAAAGGCTGTGAAAGTGTTCCCATAAATGATTTTACGTAACGTTCATGCTGCTGATCCACTGGTCGTAGATTGTCGTGCGCTATACGTGACAGTTGGGTCACTCCACTAGCCACAGAATACGAACCACAATCTGCAGCGTCGTCGCATGCGCCATGGCTCCACTAGCAGTTTAGTGTAGGACCGTAGCCGTAGACGTGGCCCTGGATCTATCATGCCGCAAATTAATATTCGTAGTGTTCTCACTGTAGTTTTAGTTTATTGACAATTTCGGTCACAAAAAATGGTGGATACACCCAATAATAAGTAGTAACAGAAAGTCTGAAAGGATGTTCCACACATTGCATACCAAACTGAGAAAGTATTAAGACAAAATTGTTGAATATTACCAATCGAATGTCTCAAAACTCTTTTGATTACTTACTAGAAGCAGTATCAACATGTTTGAAGAAGAAGGATACCATCCTAAGAGAACCAATTGGAGTAGAGGAAAAGCTTTCAGTGACTTAAAGGTAATTTTTGTGTAAAATGTAGCGTGCTGAAGACTGTCGCTAGGGGAGCCACTATGGTGTGATCGCTACCTTACCATTTCTTCAACTTATCAACCGTAGTTTGTCGCGGGACAATCTACAGCCAGTGAAGCCGCAGCTTTATAGGCCAGTCTTCACTTTAAAGATGATGAATTTAAGTTTCATCACTACATTTTTCTTCATCACTAATGAAGCGTTTCGACTCAACTCTTCAGAACTTAACAAATCATTTTAAAGCAAAACATTTTTTAAGTTTCTGCAACGGACTTGGAAAAATACAAACATTTTCTGCAGGCTTACAGTTTGGCCAAAGTTTCTGTGAGCGGGACCAGATCTGGTCAGGTCTTTTTGAAGGGGTTGGCGGGGTTACTTTTGTCAAAACATCTGTGTCTTGCTACTCACTCACCCCTACCCCCAGCACTGCCAAAAACCAGTACCGGTATTTTTTAGTCCGGCTAGTAGCAACCTGTCCGCGCCCACAGAAGTTTTGGCGGAACTGAACACGGTCGAAGTTGCAAGTAAATGAACCGGGTGTGTGATAGTTTTGATGAATATTTGAAAATAAAAAAAGTTTTCAAATGCTCGTATCCGTTTGAATATGCCTACTGTTATTACATTGAATCACTTTAGTAATTCGGCTATTCTAGATGCGTTCTTACTCACGATCAATGCACCGAATATTGACTTCTCAGCTTTCGTTTATGTAATGCATGACGTTTTAGCGTTACTGTTTGCAGAACGGAGAATTTTTCTGCAGAAAATAAAGTTGTAGACTTTCTACTGAAATATTTTCTGCAAAAAAACCATTTTATTAACTTGTTATGTAGCATTTTATGCAGAAACGTATACAGGTTAAGTGTAAGAAAGGACCATGTAACCCTTACTTTGCCTGTGAAAATAAGTAATTTTTCACAATAAATATGTTATTTTGTTTCTGGGCAGGCTGCACTTTCTGCAGCCCTTGCCGTCTTTCTGCAGAACAATGTCCCACTGCCGCCCATGGTTCTGCTTTGGGGGAAAATGTCACCGTTTGCTACATTAAAAGGCTTAGCCTACTGTGTTTTTACATAGGGTAAAATGAAAACTCCTTTAATAAAAAAACTGAGTAAAGAACAGTTTAATACTGACAAAAGGCGACATATTCTACACAGCGAGCACGAGTCAAATCTGAAACAAACATCAATGATAATAATATAGGAGGTAATGTAACCTATAAAATCAAAAACCTATGTGTACCTCAATTTATTATGAAACCACTAACATATTCTTTTATGATGATAAAACTACAAGGCGCCACCCGACGGTATACAAACTGTATTGATCTGAGCTGTAATCAAAATAACATTTACTCAAATTGTTCTATTGAATGTTCAATAATAATAAGTTAAGTAATGTTATGGTTGTTGGTTGTAACTATAACTACAAATAAAATAATCTAAATGTGTAAGAGATTCTGGCCTTGACCAATAGGAATAACAATAATATCTACAATAAGAAGACAACCAAACCTTGGATTAAATGCTGACTCTGCCTTTAAAATCCAAAGGCTGAGATGAGTACTAAAATTAATTTGGAAATACTAATATATATTTTAAATTTGACAGTATAATGACTAATCTTCATAAAAACCCCTAGCTTTTATTTTTTTTTTTTTTTAATAACTTTATTTTAATTTTCCAACTTCATTATTTTACTAATAATATTCTATTATAACTTTTTATCCTGACAAAAATGCGAGAAAAAATTGGAGAAAAAGCTGTACTGTAATGATAGCCACAATAGTTTGAGTGGAAAACAATGATGTTCTAATAACATTAACAGAAAACACTTCAACAACATTTAAACTCATTTAAGGTTTTCAAAATTGTTTAGTATTTTGATCATTATTCAACCTTTTCTATTAATTTTGTGGAGGTTTATATGCTAAAGGTATTTTTATGTTTATGCAGAACAGTTTAAACCCTCTTTTTCAGTGGTGTAATGGAGCAGGAACGTCCCACTCTGCTTTTTCCAATAGTCCTATATATGTAATGTGAAAAGCGAATAAGGACCTCTTGTCGAGAATTTGAGTTATATATACATTGTGAATTCATTAATAAATTCCGAATCACTTGGTGCAAGTCCCATGCATCTACATTTTTTTTGTTAAAGCTATAGGACTTTAAACTTTAGTTATGGAAAAGGGTCATTTTGAGAAAAACTATTTTGAAAATTTCAAATACGCATAAAAACAGTGTTTTTATTTATTTAAGAAACAATTTTGGTATCAAAAGATAGCTTATAATGTCCCTCTTTGGAGGCAATACCAATTTTTGTCTTAACTACCATAGTTTTCATATAACTGTTTTATTGAAGCATGTCGTAAAAATCAAATTTCAGAAAAGGTGACGTACGATGATAAATCATTTACAAAGAACACACCTCAATCTAACAAAAAACCACAAAGTGGTAACACTTTCCCCGCTAAGTCAGCAATCCAAAAAAGATAATAAATCTTTACTTTTTCCGCCAAGAAAAACAATGTAATGTATGTAAGTTTGGCAACTTGGCGGCAGACTTTTGCTTGGTTTTTTTCATTAAAGTTACGTTCGTGGATAATTTCACAAATCAATTTCTCTAATTAGTTAGTCCAACTAAGTATAATAATTTTGAGGTAATCAGTAAATATAAAACCATCACTATTATGATTTTATGAAATGTGGCACAAATAAGGTCAAATTTTGTAAAATAAGCTCTCGCCTAGCAATGTACTAATGGGATAGATACTTGCTCAATGAAACTATTTTTATGGTATTTTTTTAAAGTGATCGAACAAAAGTCTGCCGCCAAGTTGCCAAACTTACATACATTACATTGTTTTTCTTGGCAGAAAATGTAATGATTTATTATCTTTTTTGGATTGCTGACTTGGCGGGGAAAGTGTTACCACTTTGTGGTTTTTTGTTAGATTTTATTTATTTTTGTAGAAAATTAACAGTTAAAATATCAGTTTCAAATTTCATCAATGGTCATCTTGAACAACATAAAATGCGTTGGTGTTACATAAGTGTTCTGATAATTAAACCCGTAGGTATATCTAAAGACTAGTGTAAATTGAGCCCTTATTAGAGAAGTAAAAATGTAATCAAACAGATTAGGATTGTTAGAAATAGCACAAGACAATCAAATATTGAAAACCTCATTTATCCTAAATTTACATATTTTTTTTTAATTGCTTGTTTAACATACGTAGAGTGAATTTCACGATTGTTTTATTTGTTTTACTGTATCAAATCATAAAACAAACCTAAGTCCTAGTACTAAGTTTCAAGTTCCTAGGTTTCATATGTTTTGATAAGTAGTATTAAACTGTTAAAAATGACGAGCTGGTGTACCAGTGTACCATCGGTACACTGCATTTTTCAATGGAAAGTATCGGGGAATATCACTGGTCTAAGTAATTTCATATATAGGTCGGCCGCTTAGAAAACGACCTCCTCCAGCATTGGTTTAGCATTAGCGTGCAGGTCGTTTTCTAAGCGGCCGAACTATAGTAAGTAGTTCAAATCATTCGGTATACCTGAAAAAAATACTTTATAAAAGTTTTCAAATAATTTTTCAGCTGTTCCTATGAATTTCTCTAACATTGAAATTAATTGAGATTTAATCGCAGCTGGTCCTTCTTTTGTTTTGATTTTAATCCCATGTTATTTAAATGGGCCAAAATCGTACTTTGAGGGCTTGCCAAGGGTTTATGGGTCAACTCACCGACTTGAGACCCTCAAAAGGCACATCTACACGTTAAGGGCTTTCAAACAACATAAAGAACATTAAAATTGAGCCAGTGGTTTGGGCTGCAGGTCCGTCAACATTCAAGGAGAAGGAGGAGGAGAAGGAGAACACGGAAAATTTGTGAATTTTCAAACTAGTTTTTCTTGGCTCAAACACAACCGTTTTTAAATTCTTTTGTTAATTTTGTTGAGAATGAGTGCCCCTATCCAATAGATGGACAATTATTTTAATAGCTTTTGTTTCTTCAGAGCTATAGACGAGTGAAAAAGCCACTTTGTCACGTCATGTATATATACACTGCAGCAGCTGTGTACCGCTGGGGGACTTGGCGGGGCGGAACGCTGCCGCGTTCCTTAATATAATATTCTTATTTCTTTGCCAAAAGACTGTTTTCTTATATAGATAAAATATTATATAGTCAGATGTTTTAAAATTGTTTTTGGTTAAAAAAAAACAAATAAGAGTTTTAGTTGTTGTTTGATGTATGAAAAATAAAGAATATGGTTTGGTTTTTGTTCACATTTATTAATGTCATTTCTGATATTTTA